TTCTCATTATAAATTTTAGTAATTCGAGTTTTTTCATTCTTTTTCTTTATTATCTTGGCTAATTTTTTTATCAATTTTATTCAAAAAATGAACTTTTAATTATTATTTTTGTTTTTTGTTTATTATAATTTCATTGATTTCAGTCTGATTTTAATGATGCTGTGTCTTCTGCTTTTTGTGTTGATTTGTTGTTCTTGTTCTATGGCCTTGAGTTGTAATGTTAGGTTACTTATTTTGTGACTTTCTATTCTTTTAATTAATGAGGTTATTGCAATGAACTTTCCTCTTAGAATTGCCTTTATAGTCTCCCAGATATTTTGATATATTATATTGCTATTCTTATTTACCTCTAAGTATTTTTTATTTCACCCCTGATTTCTGCTATCCATTTGTCACTCAATAGTGTATTATTTAGTCTCAAGATGTTAGAGTAGCTTCCATTTTTTATTGTTGATTTCTAATTTCATTCCACTATGATCTGATAGAATGCTAGATATTTTCTCTATTTTTTTTATTTTCTAAGACTTACTTTTTGTCCTAAGATATGGTATATTTTAGAGAAGGATCTGTGTGTTGCTGAGAAAAAAAGCACATTCAATCATTGATTGATGAAATATTCTTTATATGTCTGTTAATTCTAAAATGTTAATTGTATTTTTTAGTTTTATAGCTTCTTTATTTAGTTTTTGTTTGGAGCATCTATCTAGTGATGAGAGAGATGTGTTAATGTCACCCAGTATTATTGTGTTGTGGTCTACTTGATTCTTGAAATTGAGAGGGCTTGTTTGATGTACATATATGTTCCGTTGTTTGGGGCATAAACATTTACAATTGTTATATTTTGTTGATGTATAATTTCCTTAAACAGAATTAAATGAAATTCTTTGTCCCTTCTGTTTAACTTTGGCTGGAAGTCCACTTTATCTGATAGGAGAAAAGAAATCCCTGCTTGTTTACAAGATCAATGGGAATGATATGTGGTGTTTTTTTTCCCAATGCTTTTACCTTCAGTCTATGGATGTTTTTGCTTCTTAAGTGAGTCTCTTAGAGACACCATATTGTTGGGTTTTGTTATTTAATCAAACTCCCAGTTTTTCTTTTGATTGATGAGATTAGGCCATTTATATTCAATGTTATTATTGAGATATGATTTTTATTCCCTACCATTTTGATTTATTTTTGGTTTTTAGTTTGAATTAGTTTCTTCTTTGATTGTCCATTCTTCTAGTGTAGTTCTTCCCTTTGTTTCATTTTTATTTTTCATTTTCTCTTCATGAAATATTTTATTCATTTTATGTTTTATGGTCTGAGCTTACACTTGTGAGTTCTTTTAACTTTTGTTTATCATGGAAAATTTTTGTCAATTCTGAAGCTTAATTTTGCTAGGTATAGTATTCTTGGCTGGCATTCATTTTCTTTCCGGTTTGTATACACTATTCCAAGACCTTCTAGCTTTGAGGGTCTGAGTTGAAAATCAGTTAGATCTAGGTTTCCCTCTAAATGTGACCAGTCATTTTTCTCTAGTAGCATTTAAAATTCTATCCTTATTCAGTATGTTATGCATTTTCCTAATAATGTGCTTGGTGTGGGTCTGCTGTAATTTTGTATATTTAGGGTCTTATAAGCTTCTTGTATTTGATTTTTTCATTCCATTTTTAAGACTTGAGAAATTTTCTGATGTTATTTCATTGAAAAGATTGTGCATTCCTTTGGTTTATGTCTCCAAGCCTTCATTTATCTCAAAAAATCTTATGTTTGTTCTTTTAATGTTATCCCATATTTTTGGAAGTTCAGTTTATGCTCTATTAACATCTTTCTCTATGGTGAACTTTAAGATTATATATTCTGTATTCATTGCCTGAAACTATTTCTTCCATATGGTTTTGTCTGCTGGTATGGTTTTCATTGATTTTATTTTTAATATTTTTTAAGTTGTCATGGGACTTTATTTTATTTATTTATATGTGGTGCTTAAAATTGAACCTAGTGCCTCATACATGCTAGGCTATGTTCTACCACTGAGCCACAACCCCAACCCTCCATTGAATTTTTAATTTGTTTTGTTGTTGTTTGTTTGTTTTTGGAGGGGGTACCAGATGGTTCACCATCTCCAACTTAATTTGTTTGTTTTTTTTTTTAGTCCTTCATTTCTATAATTTCTGCTTGATTTTGTTTTAGAATCTCTCATTATTGAAGTGATCTTTCATGTCTTGTATTTTCTCTCTGATTTCATTCCTTTCATCATTCTTTACCTCACAGATCAGTTTAATAATGAACTTCCTAAACTCCTTCTCTGACATTGGTTCCACCTGGGTATTGATGGATTCTGTTTTTGTTGTATTTTGGTTTGTTTGGAGTGATTTTTCCCTTGCTTTTTCATGTTGTTTTTGTATCTACCCATCTAATAGTCTGGAGCAGGAGTGTCCCTGTGGACTTATAGTATCCTTGAAGGTTTCTAGTACCTCAATTTATGGGGAGACAAATAATAATAATAAACAAATGCAAATAATATACACCATTAAACCAAATAGTTCCTTCTATGATGTCTACAATGATAATTATCATAATAAACAAAAATGATGTGATTAGTTATTAATCACACTAAAAATAGTAAATTTACAAAAGTGTTAATAATTTCAAATGTTGAAAAGGGTTAAAATAGAAGTGATGTTACATATGATGATTATGAGGGAGGAAGAGAGAAAATAGAAGCAAAAAAATCGAAGGATCAGTGAATGAGAAATCAATACAAATTTTCTGTTAGCAGACAAAATAGAGAAAGAGAATCAAGGGAAACTTTTAAGTGAGAGAAAAATAAAAATTTTTATGTAAAATTAAAAGAATACAAAATATATTAATCAAACATTCTATCCCTTAAAAGACTGTGTGATGGAAGATAACTGCCCTTAAATAATGCTAGAAATTTGGAAAAAGAGGTGTGTGTGTGTGTGTGTGTGTGTGTGTGTGTGTTGTCCATTCTTGTCACAATAAAACAGAAAAGAAGATGGAAAAAAAAGTTCTCAATGGAAAGTTAAAGAATCATTTCTCTTGGATTTCAAAAAATTCTTGTCTTCCCTTGTTAGCAGTGTTGGGTAGGATGGACTGGAATATGATGCCTGTTGCACCCTCAGGGTGTGGTCACTGGAATGTGAGAGGAGATCCTGTAGGCAGACTTCCTGCAGTCAGGGCTTAGGCCTAGATAGGATGCAGTTTTTTCATTGAGTGGTGATTTGTCTAGAGATTTTAAATCAGTGTACCTCTAAGGCCCAGCAGTTGCCTGTCCATGCTGGGAGACTCTGGGTTCCACCTGTGTGGCATAACAGTCAATTCTTTCTCCCCTTCATCATCTGTAGACTCTGTGTTTCTGTCTCTCAGGTTCAATCTTTAACCTCAATCTCTCTCGTCCCTCTTCTTTCAAACTCCATGTTGGGTGTATCCCTCCCAGCCAGTCCTGTGAGCAGCCCGACTGGAGTGGGAGGGGTGTAGCCTCAATCCCTCTCTGCATCTTACCCTCTCTTGATCACTTAATCACTCTCTTTGCCATGTGGTGTGGATTTGTCAAGCCTTGGTTTGCCGGGAATTAGCCTCCATGGCTGCCAGCCCCGAAAAGCTACTTTCTCTGTCCACGAGCAGCTAGGAGAGAAACAGCCCCTTTCCCACACAAGAATAATGTATCAAGCAGTGTCTCTGATCTCAGATCTCTTAGTATCCAAACATGTCACAGGCCTCCCCAATTGCCACTGGGGATTTGTTCCTTATATTATTATACTCAGCCTCCTGAGTCCCCAATCTGCTTTGATGTCCAGCATTAGTTCCCAGTAAAGTCTCCTTTTCATTTTTTTTCCCCACCCACCATGCTGAGAAGCTGCTTATATACTTTCTTGGTTTCACACCTAGAAAAGCAACCTCCTCTATTCTGTCACTTTCCCAAATCCCCAAGTACCTTTATTTCCCTACCTTATATGCTTGAATTTTTGGTTCATGGGTGTGGAATCATCAAGGGAGTTGTAGCTTCAGCTTAAAACATGACCTCACTTATCTATTTTTTACATTGTTCCTGTTGTTGAATATAAACTCTGTGAATTAGTTTTCTCTTTGAATTTTGTAAGTAAAAAATCAATCTAAGGTAGAGATTGGGAAAAATTCAGAAATTGTATTGCTGAAGCTCCAAGCTTAAGGTAGAAAGGAAGCTGAGGAAGTGTGTCAGGAGATAACTATAGAATGAAAGTAAGAGGGGTTGGCTGATGAAACCTCATTTATTCTCAGGTCAGTTACCAACTCTGCACTGACCTAAGAACTTCTTCAATGAAGGGTATGACACCGATCATAACTTTCTTTCCTTGGCTTTTATACAGAGACTCCACTACAGAGAAGATCAAGTGTGGTCTCTGATTGATCTGTGTATACTTCAGATGAATACCCTTTTAAAATCACTTGCAAAGTTTCTGAGGGTTGAGAATTTATTTTTACAGTTTTACAACTCTCAAATCTGCAACATTAGACTCAGTAAGATGCTCAATACATCACATATAGAATGAAATATATTATGAAGTAAAAGTTCTAGATCAAATGACTCTTTATTTTCACTCACTCCTAAACCCTGATTGTATTCTAGTTATTTTGTTGCTAAACCCATAACACATGACTTCCCTTTTTTCATCCACCTGGTTATTTCCATATTTTAGTCTAGTTTTCTGGAGGGGAGGGATTATGTTTATTTATCCTTGTGTCCTGCATACCTATGGTACCAGATGTCAAAGCTACTCAGTAAATGAATGTTCCTTGTATAGTTATATCAAAGTTTCATCATGTGTGAGTTTGGCTATGTTTGTTTGAAATTTTAAAAATCTTTTTGAATTTTTTTCTGAATCTACTTTTGTCTTCATGGATTTAAAGATATCTGAATTTATTATCAAAATATTGCACCAATAATCTCTCATGTTCTTGCCATTTTACTCCAATTAATTTTTAAGATACTATTTTCTTTTGCTTTACTCCAGAACTGAACAATGCCACAAAAAAATTCTTTACTAAAGAATATTTGAAAATTAAACAAAGCTTTCAGAAGTCCAGCTCTGCAAAATGGCCTCTACCAAGCTGCAGAAAAGCTTTTCATCTTTTTGGAGGTAAGGAAACTAATACCTACCCATCCACGACCCAAAATAAAATTCTTGTAACTCTGTCCATTTTTCCAAGCCTGTTCTTATACCTAATTTCTTCCTGTCTTAAAAATGTTAGTGGATATATTTCTGTATTGATCTAATTTAAGTAAAGGTTTTGCTAAATATCTCCTTGCTGAAAGCTACAAATATACATATGAAGAAAATGCAGTCTATACATTGAAAGCAAATTTGAGAGAAACCAGTATTATTGACTTTCCTGAGGAGAATAAGAGGGAAGGTGGATGGAGAAAGGTTGGTTATTGGGTTCTAAGTTACAGTTAGATAAAAGTAAGAAGTCAAGGTGTGCTATTGAATATACTATAGATAATAATAATGTACTGTATTTTTCAAAAAGCTAGAAGAAAAGATCTTGCATATTTTCACCATAAAGAAATGACAGATGTTTGAAGAGATAGATATATCTAACCTGATTTAAACATTACAATATATGCTGTATCAAAAACATAATATCATACCTCATTAATATGTATATCAGTTAAAAATTCATAAAAATAAAAATAAATTAACTTTCCCTTTCCATCAGTGGTTAATATATAGATGATAAACAAGCATCTCACAAGTATCAGATTTGATAAAAACTATTTGACAAAAGCACTAGAACTCTTAATAAAAAATTTTATTAATTCAATTATCATAAGCTAAATTTATGTAGTTTAATATATTATATTTCTAGCACAAGTTTAGGACAAGTAGAAAGTGACAGAGCCTTGGAGTAGAGGGTATCACAGAACTGCACAGTGGTCTGAGAATGGTATACCAGTGTCTAGGTTCAGGTCTAAGTAGCTATATGATTTCAGGAATGTCATGAGCACCTCTATTGCTTGTATTCAGATAAAGTGTAAATTATTTTTATCTGCCTCACCTAATTAATATACTAGTTGTGAGGACTAAATGAAACTAAGACCATTTTGAGCTTAAAGAATGTGTTACTGTATGACCATACAACATGGACATAAAATATAAAGTCATCTTTTATAAATTCTTGGTTTGTAAGAGCATGAATTACTATGTAGTTTTAGCATTTACAACTTATGATATTATGGGGCCAGATAGGGGAATCATGATCTTCAGTGAACAAGAGGAACTTCTACATAAGAAAATAAGACCAATACAGTGATGACAAAGAACCAAAGCAGATAGAGGCAGAGCCTGTATGGTGGAGGCAAAAAATAAATTGATACACTAAATCTCTTAAGTTTGAAGGAAGTAAGTGAAGGACCAATATAACTTTGCACAGTGGTTCAAATGAATAAAGTAGTTTAAGGATACTCAGTAAGCCCTTATGTCTTTATAATTTGGTTAGTAACTAAAAATATTATCTAGGATTTGGTATAAATAGGTTTAAAACTATAACATTTAGTCCAAAATATAATAGAAAATCAAATATGAGAAAAATCAGCTTTACATAAATAATTCATACCCAAAAGGAGAATATTTATAATTTGGTTTTTGTTCCTTAAGAAGTTCCCCGTATCCTGGGTGAGGGCCGTGGCTCAGTAGTAGTGCACTTGGCTGGCATGTGTGAGGCACTGGGTTCCATTCTCAACACCACATATAAATAAATAAATAAGGTCTATCAACAACTAAAAAAAAAATTATAAAAAGAAGTTTCCTTTATCCTGTCTTCTACCTTACATTCAGTTACTTTAAATACAATAATCCCACATTTTCCTTTGTCTTTTTCTATTCTGAAGTAAAAGTGAAGCAATAATTCAAATAGGTGTTCCTTTGTGATTTTTGTCTTATTTGTCCTATGTGGAGCAGAAGAGTGCCATAGACTTTGATTTAAAAAAAATTTAATACTTACACAGGAGACTAAACAAATTAAGATGGATTATATGGTACAATATTAAGATACCTTTGAACTTACTGTTTTAGAAAAACAAGCAATGATATACAGTGTGTTCCTACTTTAGTACATGATAAAATTAAAAGTAGTAAAACCCAGACATTAACACCTACATATAAATACATGTAAATGCATATCATTAAGCATCCATAGAAAAGTGAAGATATGAGAGCATCACATGCAACATACACACATGTATGTGTTTAAAGTAGAACTTGATTATATCATATATTTTTTAATGGTAGAAGTTCAAAATAGTTTTATTACATCATTCAATTTAAGAAGTATTTTAGTATCACAAGCTCAGCTGAACTGGGCAAGAACTGAACTGTCAGGTAACTAAGTAAGTAAAGCAACACACCAAAAAGGAAAGAATTAAGCTTTCAATCACTTGCTACAATGGCATAAGCAAATCTAAACATAGAGAAAATGCATACCCCCTTTTACATTTTCTCCATAGAATAAGCATACTGGCCCAGGGTCAGGTGGAACAGAGCAGATGTGGGGATTGGCTCACTGTACAGAAACTAAGTCTCCAACAGTTTTATGGGTCCTGGAGTCAGGGGGAGAATAACATGGAGGAAGGGCTACTAGTGAGAAAAAAAAAATGGATATGGAGTCACAATGGAGAAAAGTCCCCTCAAGTTATCCTCTTCTAATCCCCAAAAAGAGGCCTCAGCAGAGGCAACTGAAAAAGACCTCTGTGCACTGTCTCAGATAAAGAACCTTGGAATGAAGATGCTGTGAAAGAGCATCCACTGGCCTTGAGACCTTGACTGCCACTCCCTGTGGAGACTGTAAATACTGCCTGTGCTGCAAGTCTGGCATAGGAAGGGCAGCTTTCTGCTGTGAGGCCTACAATTACAGTGGCTAGACCTAATACACACAGGATTGGGAATCAGATATCTCAATTGACAATATTATTGAAGCACTTTCTGTACTTCTCTTTGTTTGCCTCTTGCCTCCCCCCAAATTTTTTATTTATCATTTCTGTATAATATACATATATACTTAATCAACATTACTTATTTTTGCTTGTTTTTGCACTTTTGTGATGGTAACAAATGTACATATTCCACATTTGCTTTGCCACTCAGTATTAGGTTTCTCAAATCTATCCATTTCAGTAAATATAGTGACATTTGTTTATTTTTACTACTGTACTATAGTCAATTATATGAATGTACTAAAATTTGTTCATTCTCCTGTGGATGAATTGAGTTATCTGACCTTTTCATTGTTATAAACAATGCTACTGTAAACATTTTCGTGTCTTCTGGAATAATTGCCAATAGAAACTTGCCAGATCATAGGAAAAGTACATCTTGAAGTTGATTACCTAAAACCAAACTATTTCCCTAAATGACTGTACTGATTTTTCAGTAGTGTTGTCTATCACATTTGATCTTTTCAGTCTTTTATAATTTGCTAGTCTTGTAACTATAAAATAACACCACAGTGGGGTTTTAATTTCCATTACTGTGATGGGAGTTGAATATGGCTTTGTCTATAGGTATATTGGCCATTGAGTTTTTTTCATTTATTGAATACTTATTTACAAATTTTATATATTTTTCTATGATTTTTTTTAATTTTTAAGAACTTATAATATTTTTCTGGTGATTACTTTTTCTGTTAATTATATGAATAGCCATTCTCATCACTATTTGAAGTCTGCCTTTTTACTTCATTGTTTCTTTTAATGAATTATAGTTCTTCATTTTCTTCATTTTTCTGATGTGTACTGTTAAAGAAATTTCTCTCTATTCTCAGGGTCACAAAGATAACTTCTTATATATTTTTCAAATAGTTTTAAAGGTCTTTGGAATTGACTTATGTTATATTGTTTTATGAAGTTTTTGTTTTGTTTTGCTGTGTGCCATGTAGGGAGCCAATTTCTTTGAGTAATTTTTGCTGTTTATTTTTTTCCATTTATTAATCATTTCTCTACTGATGTATAATACCAATATGTCATATTTCAATTCCCATATGCTCTATATCTGAGTTCTTTGTTTGATTCCATTGGTTTATTTGCCTATTCTTAGGCCAAACACCAAGCCTTTATATTTATAAGCTTTTAAATCTTCCCTCCAGCTTGTTCTGTTTCACAAGTATCTTAGCTATTTTGAGGCCCTCTGCTCTATTATTTGTCTATCATGTTCTCTGTTATAAGAAATTCTTAACTTCATTGTACCTGAATCAAATTCTTGCTTTACCATTTGTTTTGAAATTTCATTTTAAAAAGTTCTTCACCACTCCCAGACCACACAGGTTTTCACTTAGATTTTTTTTCCTATGTTTACATTGTGGTTTTACCTTTCACATGCAGGTCTTTAACTAGAGTCTATCCTTTATATTGTGATACAAAGGATTCACGTCTTTTTTCAAATAAAAGCCCATTTTTTCCAAATATTTATTATATAGCATTGTTGCATTTGTAAAGATTATTTACTGTTGTCTTATAGAAATATAGTTTAATGTGGGAAAATGATCTAATATTTAACAACCATACTAAATAATCTAATTAAGTTTAATATTTAAATGGTTTTAAGTGCTTTCAGTGAAGATGATTATAAGTATAGTTTGACATCTTTGTTAAACTATGCTTATACTGAACAGTTAAACATCTAATGCATATATACTTTCTTTCTCTTTTATCTTGATGAACATTTTGAACTGGGTTCTCTGTTCTATTTTGAACAAAATTAGTGATAGTAGCATCCCTAATTTTAGGTGGAATGCTTTTAATATTTACCATTGAATATAATTGTTTTTACTTGTTGTTGTTGTTCTTTCTGTACCATACTAAGATAATTTTCTATGTCATTAACTTTTATCCTTTTTACCAACTTCATTATTTAATGTTATAAAGTTTTCTGCCATCACATATTTTTGTTATTCTTCATTTCTAATTTTTAAATAAGTCATATTTAATTACATACTGATTGAGTCATATTGATTCAAAAATAAAGTAATTATTCAAAAATCAGGATCATACTGGAAAATAAGAGTCTGTGATTTATCACTATTCAGCAAACCATACCATCTATGCTATGTTAATATGTTACTTGAGAAATTTATTTTTCAGCTGTTT